TGCCGCAACTGAACCCGAACCAAAGCGAAACATGCAATGCTGTAGTACAAAATAAATTCTGCCCCTTTTTGCGAGCTTTTTGGAAAAACTGACAGAATCTATACTATATACTATCTGTCTATACTATACTATATCTAGTATGGTATAGATTACCATTGCCTAGTGTGGGCATCACTAGATCAATCACATTTATCACTATTTGTATTTATCTTTTAATTGGTTATAACTTTTATTGTTAATTATTAATCTGTTTTCAATAAATTTCAATTTCAATTTCTATCTATATCTACCTATCTATCTTATCTATATTATAATAAAGCATAAACACACATTTCTTTGTTGCCTAAGATGTAGGCAATTACAGCATATTTTTGAATAATTATTCTTTCAATAATAAGCCCTACACTTACGTCACGCTTAGACTTAGGGGGTAAATATTTTGAATAATATCCCTAATGTGGGAAGAGACCATAAGTTGCTGCTAACATCAAGGAAGCAAAATTGCCATGCTTTGTCATCATTGTCTGTCATTTTGACATTTGCAATTAAATTTGACAAATGTAATCAGTAAAACAATTTTCATTATTTCATGCGAATGAAGTCGCACGGGAATAAGCAAACAAGCTTAGAACCTATTGTTTGTATTTCACAGAGGGGAATGCGCGCTTGACAGGCCCTATTCCTTAAAAACTAAAGCTTGGAATAGATCAAATCAATGCGAGGTCAATATCAATTTTGTTTTTAAACTGGAATGCTAGAGACCTCTGGTCGTCAAATGTTAACATTTTCATGCCAAATATTTCAAAGTTTCGACGGAAATGGCAATTGTAAGCTATCCTAAAAGCTTTCGTTAGTTCTAATCAAACTTTTGTATTTACAATAAACCTCTCTTCAACTAATGGAGTCACCGGAAATATGCCGGATGTTACTGTCTGTAATCCATTAATTTTAGAATATTGTAATATAATTTACATGCTTATTTAATACATTTTGTAAGTTATTTGTTGATTATATTGTTTTAAAATAATAAATGATTCATAAAAAAAGTCCCTTATTTTAGTGAACTTCGCGTGGATTGTTTTTTTATAATACTTGTTTATTTTATGAAAGTGTATGCATACATAACTTATTAGGTAAAACATACATAGTGCAATTTTATCCGCACTGCCAAAGCTTTGATTTGCGATTAAATCGTGTTTTTTCCACATTTTGTAATCTCAACATGTGTCAGCGGCAAATCGTTTACGCCGCCCGTTTGTAATTTGCCACGGCAAATAATTTTCCAAGCAAAATAACAAAGAACCCGTAAATTACGAATGAGCACGAAATCATTCACAAATTTACAGGTAACTTTATAAATTAATACGTTTTTTTTTTCAAAGACAATGTAACATGACAGGTATCATTAGAAGTGTGTGAAGTAAGGAGTTTAAAAGAAGATGGGAGTGGATTCAATTAAAGCAGATTACTGAAGATGTATGAAAGAGCATATACTGTGCCGACCTTTTGTAGGGACAATGGCAAGTTGTTGATAATGATGATAATAGAAGTGGGAACATAACGGAGTTTTTAGAGATACACATAGGTAGAATATATAGACACATAGGTAAAATATGTAGACGGTGGCAAAGAGAATTCCGAGTTACAGAATTTAAAATTAAATCAAACAAGCACGAATTCCTGAAAGCCGGGAGGGCTTTGTTAAATAAACAAAAGTTTTATTCAAAGCTTAAAACAGAATGTAAATGTTAATGAAACTCATTTGAAAATGACTTCGTTGAAAAGTAAGTTATGACTTAGCTTAGTAGGGCGGATGTAACTATACGTATCAATTCTGTTTACAACTTTAGTTTTGACTTCGGACCGTATTTACCATCAAGAAAATATTACTTCACTGTAGGTGATAATGAGTGACTTCTCCCGATAACCAAGAAAAAAAAATCAACGTTAAAAATACAAGTACATTCACGTTACTATGTTATCTGGTTACAAATGAACTGTTTTTTCTATCATATGGATTAGTATAATTGTAAGAGATAAAGTTTATTTGTTAAATATCCTAACTTGTGGAGCATGCGCTGTAAGGGAAAAGTCGAGTTCACTCGTGCCGCCGCGCCGGCCGTCGCAGGCAAGCTCGCAGGACGATATCCTGAATACTTTAATCCGCGTAACTATAAATAAACATAACACTAAACAATCTTGATACTAATCCTAAAAGCCTGAAACAATAGAATCAGTTAATCGTTTATAGGAAAAGCTAAGCTTAGTCGAGGTTTTTATTTAAATAAATCAGGATACAATTTCAAGTATTGGTTGCATTTTTATGAAGAAAAGAAATTTTTGCAAAGTTGTACCTTAGTGAAAAAGGTAAGTACATTCTAAATGTGTTTTACCTCGTATTAATATGTTATTGTCTCGTAGAATATGAAAATGTTTACAATAACTTTACGGGTATATGTATCGATTTTAAACAAAATTAACATATTACAACAATTTGTTTAACATTGAGATGTTTATGCGAAACATATTAATATTATACTCGTAGTAGTTTCAAACTTAACTTACTAATGTTATATATACAAAAATTTAGATTGATGGATGTTTGTTAGAGTTTATAGCTTAAACGGCTGAACGAAAGTTGATGAATTTTGGCATAGGCTCGTTTTCACGCGGAAGGAGCCGCGGGCAAAACCTTAAGATGTCATAGATCAGAAGTTTAATACAAAAGTTTTAACTCTAAACACATAAATAACTAGTACGTAACACAAGACTTTGTAACATTAATAATGTTAAATCTGTAAGGATTTCTTCTTAACTGGATTACATTTCCTTGTAAGATAAATGAACATATGACAGGTAGTTAGCGTTAATTAATATCCATACTAAAACCTGTTGTCTCAACTAATTCACAGAGAATGAGCAGGATAACAATATGTTAATGCGCGTATGGTAGTATACAATTGTTTATTGTTGTGTCTCAGTTTTTAGCATAACTCGGTTTAATCCTTTAATCGTATTACCTTCGTCCTAAACCACATAAAGATAATGTTATACAAACAATGTTATTTACTCATGTGGATATTATGTCATTTTCATGATTACGAGCGAGCGCTCACCTTTGATTAAACTATCGCACAATTAGTCGCGCTTTGATTTTTTGATTTGAGGTGCGCATACCACTCGATTTTTTGGTTGTGCAACTAAACAGTTGAATTGGCTACGATACAATCGACAATCAAAAATCGCACTACAGTTGTACGATAATTTAGTCAAAGACGTGTGCCCGCTCTAAAGGAGTAAAAGTAATTGCTGAGTTGACCTCATTAAAGTCAACGGTTTGGGCCCAGATTTAATGTTCACGGGCTATTGAAGTTAATATATTCATTTTGTATTTAAAGATTTTTTTCAATGACTTTTAGTAAAGGCGTTTTTAA